TTTGCTCTATCCCGTCGCCTTTTATTCCTCTTTGCATTGGCAATGCTCTTCTTAATGGGGTCCTCGACCTTAAGCTTCATCAGCGAGTGAAGTTGGTAAGGCAAAGCTATTGTTTGTATTCACCTAACCAACAGAGCCAATTTCGCTTACTAACTGTCTACCTCATGCAATGGGAAATTTCGTTTGAAGCATTGGTTTGCTGTAGGGATGGGTAGTACATGCCGTACAAATTGGTATGGTGCTGGGCCGTCGGGAAGGTCGCCGGGATTGCGGGAAATCGATGGCGCTAGGCGGCGCGAGTCACTCCTGGACCTTCCCTAACTGGTCGGGCGCGTCCGGTGAGGGCGCTTCAGCCACGGCGAAATACTCCCCAGGGAAAATCGTTTGGGGAGATTCTCAGGCTCCCCAAGGGGAGAGAGCCCCGGTACAAACGGCCCTCCCCAACGGCAGAGGTCCCCACAGCTTGGGGACGCTGCCATAGCTGATCGGCAATGTTGCTGCCAGCGGCGACCGATGACACGGGCGCCATCACCCCTGCCTTCCATGGCGGTTGTGATCAGCATAAGCGCAAGCTGTCACCCAATCAGCTTGACAACAACGAATGCGGCGAGGCGCCCAACCCGAGCGCTCGCAGTGCCAAGCGGGCTCAGACACAGCGCATCCGCAAGGGCATGAGCGACGGTGCATGGCGGGACAAGCAGAAGGAAAATCCCCACAGATGGCAGATTGCCTGGGCCGCCAGGTATCCCTGGGCCCAGCCTGTGCATGCTGACGTGGACGCCGGAGAAGTGCACGACCAAGTGCGCTGCATCCCCTGCACGTTGATGAAGAAGAGCGACTACCTGATCATGTGCCGGGTAGCTACCCTCGACAAGCACATGACGTCTGAAGTGCACAAGACGTCAGTGGAGCATGAACAGAGCCAGAAGGCGCACCTGGCACTCCAGCAGCAGCGGAACGCGACCCTGCCACAGCTCTACACCCCGGGCAACACGGTGGCAGAGAAGGCCAAGCACCAGCAGCTCATCCAGCTCTTCTGGCAGCTTACCCGGGGGCGGCCCATCACGGACTTCATGGCTTCTAAGGAGGCGTTCGAGGCGCTGTCCGTCCCACACGTAAGCAGCTCACACTGGAGCGGCTTCTCAGCCTGGAACCTCGCTGAGGCGCTTGACGGGGTACTGATGGACAAGGTCCGGGAGATTGTGCGGAGCGCGCGATTCATTTCGCTGAGCATGGACGAGTGCGTGGGCATCGACAAGAATTCGCGCCTCTCCCTGCACGTGTACGTCATGGATGCGCAGTGGAGCCGGTTGCCGCTCCTGATCGATGTGAGTTTTAACGGGTGGACAGGCTGCCGGGACTGGGGGTTTGCCGCATTTGTCTTGTTCTCCACAAGTTGTAACATCATTCCTCACAAGTTCCTATCTTCTGAACTTGTGTCCACTTTAAGTATCCCTGCATCCCCGCAGTTGGCGCATGTACGGGGCGCACCTGACGCTGAGAACATCACGCAGTTGGTGCTGGATACACTGAACGTGGAGGGCGACCTCGGGGAGCAGGATTTGGCGCGCAAGCTCGTAGCGGTCAGCACTGACGGTGCAAGCGTGATGACAGGCGTGCACAATGGGGTGTCAGCAAGGCTCAGCCAGACCGCGCCGTTCCTGCTGAGCATCCACTGCATGGCACACCGCACAGACCTCGCCATTGCCGTGCTGGAAAAAGCCCCGGTCGTCAAGATGATTGTGAGCGTCATCAAGGACGTTTACAACTACTTCTTGGGCAGTGCTAAGCGTGTGAGCATGTTTGAGGATGTGGCCAAGGCTGCAGGAACGGATGGCAACCGGCTGAAGCGCATCGTAGAAACAAGGTGGATCTGTGCACGAGAGCCGGCAGCCTCCCTACTGGCCGAGTACCCAGCGCTGCTGCCGCTGTTCTGTGAGGAGGAGGAGAAGCTGTATAACACACTACGGGACGCACGCCTGTATGTCTCAATGCACGCACTGATGCCCGCCCTGGTCACCATCGACATGTTCATCAAGCTTTGCCAGAGCCGTGGGCTGTATATTGGTGAGCTGGCCAAGGCGCTTCAGCGCACCAAGGATCGGCTGCGTGAGATGTACCTCAGGCCAGAGACCCGCTACACCACCGTGGAGTTTGGGGACTTCAAGGAGCTGCTGTCAGTCGATGGAGACATCAAGGGCACCGCCTGGGTGTTCAATCCCGACACGCCGGGGGAGGAGGGGATCGGACTGATGTGTGGCAGCAGCGGCTTCTACCCCTTCACCGCTGATCCTCCTCGCACTGGCCGAGACCGCACACCACCGCCTTTGACACCGGACCGCCTGGCCCAGGTCGTGAAGTCGGTGCA